GGAGAGGCGCTGAAGCCGGCGCCGCGCCGCCAGCGCGTCCCCTGGTGGCTTGGCGGTGCCGCGGGGCCCCACGCTCCCCCTGTCCCCCGGGGGCACGATGAGGGGTGCGACATCGACCCCCTCCCCGGCTGAAAGGGGTCCCCACAACTCCAGCAGAGTCACACTCAGATCAAGGATCACCCCCTTATTCCCAGGGCTCCTTCCTGATGACGCAGAAGCCCGCAAGCCAGGGGAATTAAAAGAGAAACCAAAACCAAAATTTAAAACTTCTGTATTTTCTTAGTCCCAACGAACCCGTGCAAAGACTCAGCCAGCACGTGCCCCTCCTTTTCTTGCCTGAAGTCCAACACCACAGGGCAAGGCACCATGTCAGCTTATTGAGGGTCCAGAGGGGTCTGAGGCCCCAGGGAGGGACACACACACACACACCATAAGAAGCTTCAAAGACCCCCAGACCCACCTGACATCAGGGTTTAGTGTTTGTGATGAGCTGTGGGGACCTGCTCCTGGAGGACATGCCCAACCCCACCGAGGGGATTTTGGCCACCTTTGGTGGTACCACTGCCAGGACACAGCAGGCTCCCCGCGGCTGTACCCCCATGGGTGTGGGAACTTTTCCCCCCAGCCATCTCCGGCTCCCAGGCCTGGCCAGAGCAGCTCAGCTTCGCCCCTGAGGTCCGTGGGCATACGGCTGCATCTGGATCCAGTGGTGGCAGCACCAGAATGCCCACAAAGACACCCCATCCTGCTCCTGGCACTACTCAGTCGAGCTTGTGGAGCTCCGGCACAGCTCCTGTAAGTCTGCAGAGGCAGCAGAGGAGACCCATTAGCAACCAATTCAACTAAAAACCAATTATTTCACAGAATCACCTGTGTTGGAAAAGCCCTTGAAGCTCCTCCAGTCCAACCATGACCCTCACCCTGACCATTCCCAACTCCCCCAGATCCCTCAGCGCTGGCTCAGCCCGACTCTTCAACCCCTCCAGGGATGGGGACTCCCCCCCTGCCCTGGGCAGCCCATTCCAATGCCCAACAGCCCCTTCTGCAAAGAAATACTTCCTTATTTAAATAAATTTAAGGAGTCCAGCCCCTTCCCATGGTTTCCAGGGCACACTCACAGCGCAAGATGGTGTCTCTGATCTGCCGGAAGCTGTTCTCCTTCAGCACCATGTAGATGTAGTAGAGGTTTCGCAGCTCCTTGGGATAATCCTTCCGATCCACATCCTTCAACACTGGGATGGTGCGTCCGTGGGCCATGGGAGCTTCAGCCAACGCTTGATGCATCTGGTACTTGCACCAAGGATCCCGGAGGAAGCCAGGGGTGATGAGCATAACCCAGCAGTGGCTGTTCTGCACGGCGTCACACAGTTCTGTCACCACCGCACTTCCCGGTGCCGCATCCCGCAGTTGGAGGAAGCAACGGAAGCTTTCGGGTTGACCCTCCAGGTAGGACACCAGCTCCTCCACCAGCTCCAGGTCGGCCTCACTGTGGCAGATGCAGACGTCATAGCTCTTGGCCCACCGGGCGCTGCCCGAGGCGTTAATGACCGACAATGAGACCGGTGACAGGTGAACAGACCTGGCCAGGCTTGTCTCGGAAGAGGAGTTGGAGCTTGTGGCAGAGGATGAGGAAGAGGAAGGCGAGGATGAAGCAGAGCAGCCGGCATTGAGGCTGCTCTCCACCGAGCTGGGCTTGGGCTTGTGTAGGAGCCGCCTAAACCAGCCTGGGGAGTCAGAGAGACCACGGTGAGGTTTAGGAGGCTCAGCACCCCACCCCAGGCTTCCCAAGGGGCTTGTGCAGCATCACCAGCTCACAGCAGGACACCTCCAGATGGAGAAAGCTGGCCAAGACCTCACCCTGGCTGCCCAAAAACCACTCCAGACCCTAAAACCTTGGCTATTGCATCATGACCAACAGTTTGCAGGTGTGTTTCAGTGGGGAGGGGATGCCAGTGAAGGAGGGGACAGAGCCAGAGGCTTTATCCTGCCCAGCACCGACCAAACCCACGCTCACCGGCCATAGTGGGCAGCGTGTTGCTCAGCCGCTGATTGCCAGCATGAAATCTCTCCTGTCAGCATAAAAAAAAAAAGAGATAAAAAAAGAAATTAGGCAAGCAGGAACCAGCCCTGTAGTAGGTCTCAGCCCCAGGAGCTCAGTGGGGTTTATTCCAAGGACACACAGCTCTGGGGTGCTTGCCTGCAACCCGAAAAATCACCCCTGGCAGAGTTTTCCACATCTGCCTCCCCAAAATTTGCTAGAAAGGAGAGTTTTGACCTCAAGCAGGGCTGGAAGCAGTAGCTCAAGCAGCCCTCCTGCCTAACTTTTCTTTCTGCCAGAGATACACACCTGCAGCAAGCGAGGCTGACAGCCAACGGGCAGGAGACCCCCTCATTCCCAGCAGCAGGGAAAGGATCCTGCGGAAGGAGAAGCAGGGATCAGCAGGGATCACTGGAGATCTACCAGCTGCTGTGCAAATTAAGGATGGATTGGGTGATGCCCACCCTGGCATCAGGCTGCCAGCAGAGTTTGGGGTGCCCAGACCCTCCTTGAGGGTACCCAGGAGTGACAAGAGGGGAAACGAGCCCCAGGAGCGCATGTGACGGCTGGTTTTCCACTGCTTGCATCACCTCTTCCGAAATAAAACACCCCAAGTCACACTGAAGCCTTTGCCCTACTCTGAAAACAGCAAAGGACCATGGTAAGCATCGGCCAAACCCCGGCACACCCACAGAAACCACACTGCCCAAGCAAGCCACTGCCTCATGATAGCAAAAAGCTTGAGTGTGGCTTGAACGACAAGCAGGGATGGTGAAGGGTGGGGGGAAATTTGGGGTACACCTACCTGGGATGCAGGAGTCAGGCACTAGAGCAGGGAAAGCATCAGCTTCCCCCCACCCGGGTTTGGCAAGGAGGAAGATGTTCCAGGATCACCTAGGTGGGAAAGAAAAGGTAGGATACACCACATTCGCTCTGGAGCCTAATGGGATCCACAGAGAATGACAAGGCTGACTCATCCTTACAGCTTCCCCAACTGGGAGCAGCTCCCAACGGAACAGCCCCAGGGTGGAGGGAAGGACAGGGCACCCACCAGCTTCCACAGGGGCAGAGCGGAGGAGCTGCCTCGTCCCTCCGCTGCCTCCTGCTCCCCGAGGCCCCCCGGCGGCTGCCGGCAGGTCCGGGCTCCGCGTGGGCATGCGGAAGTGCTGGCAGGGGAAGTCGGCGGTGAACCTGTGGGCCTGGGAAGCCAGCCCTCCCCTGGGGCCTCCCTCCCACATCCGCCACCGGCCAGACGCTGTCGCCGGCCGGTCATCACCATGCCCAGCCCAGCCCTCACCAGCAAGCCCAGAGCCGTTTCCCTCCCTCGGGGGGGGGGGGGGGGGGGGG